TAGAAATTATTATATGATATATACCAAAAAGAATGGTTTTTGATGTGATTAGATTTCGTACTCATGTTACCCTGAAAATATTGTTCGGACTTAAAAAAATCGAGTCTTTCGAACTAGATCCATTCACACTAAAGGATTTTTTGGGCTTAGTTTGGATGGGTTCGAGCTATCTGGAATCCCAAAAATAATCATCTAATTTAGTGAGAACATTTAATTTTGCAACAAATGAAGAGAACTTTAGGACTTTCATAATTAAAATTTGTCATCTGAGTTTTTTTTTTTAGTAATTGACGAATGAAATTATCAAAAAATGTTTATAAACCTGTTGTTGATTCATGTATTTCAAATTTAGAAAAAGATAGGTATGAGAGTAAAAATATTGTGTTTACAAACTCATTAAAAGCTTTTTTTTTTAAACCAATTGAATTGGTGCATCGCATGTACATTCGATCTTCTATCACTATGAAGAAACGATTCTCATAGTTTTTAACTAATTATAATTTTAGATTTGTTCTTCCATTTGACTTGCACATCACGTCGTAATGTTTTCCTAGTAATAACAATTTTTCTACTCGTTTCAAGTATTTCATCCTCTTAAAGAAAGTTCGCCTCTAGGCAATGGAGTATAAGAGATGCAGATGCTTGGTAAGCCTCCTAATAATGTTGTGTAGCTTTAGGATTGTTTGCTCACTTTGGGACTGCACAAGGACCATAGCCTTTTCTCCTGGTTGAAGATGTGGCGAATGAGGGGTAGGATAAGAGCAGTATTCTTGCCACAATGTCTCGCGATTCCTACCATATCTCGGCCTAACATGAGAATGAGAAGGGATTGTGACTGGAAAGCAGTCATGTGTTTCTCATCATACTTATGCTTTTCCGAACTTTGGACAACACTTCCGCTTTATCCCTTTTTTCGACCAGACAGAGCAAATGGTGAAGCTTCCCTAGAGTGGTCACTAAGATTTCGTTGGCCATTTGCAAGTCTTCAAATCTCTAGAAGGCAGGAGTCAGTGCAGTGGAAGACATGTTGAGACCCTTAGTAAACCTTTTCACTATATGGTCCATCTTCAGAATGGATTCAGGAGTTGGAGCAAACACGATCGCCAAAGGAACTCCCCTCATATGCTGGTTAAAGACATGTCGGATGAGAGAGAGGATAAAAGCAATTGTCTTCTTAGTACATCTCGCGATGCCTATCATATCTCTTCCGAACATCACTATAGGTAATGACTGGCCCTGGAAGGGAGTAATAAACCGCTCCTCACCCTTTAGTTGTCCCTGGACTTTTGTGAGAACGCCAGCTTCAAGCCATATATCAATGGGGCATGGTACTCACTCGTCGCTCACCATTATTCCAAGCTGTGCTCTCTTCGCATTAACTTGCTCCAGAGGTAGATTCCTCCGCCTTGCCACTTCTAAATAGAGAGATTTACGGAAAGGAGGCAGGGCAGAACCAGAAGAACCAGAAACTCCAAAGTAGGTTAGTTAAAGGGCACAATCACATTTCCATACCAAAGTTTAGTTAACCAAAATAGAATTAGTTCGTTAACCCAAACAAAATTAGATAGTTAACCCAAAACCAAATTAGTTTCCATACCAAATCAACTATTGATTATATCTATTACCAATTAGAAAACTCAGGACTTTAATTTCCCCAACCAAATTAGTTAACCCAAGTCGAAGTAGAGTTGCATACCTATTATTATATCTAGCAATTTGATCCATACCTATTATATCTAGCAATTAGAAAAATCAGGACCTTGAGTTTGATATTTACCATCACTTTTTTTTTAAACCGGTTGAATTGGTGCATCGCATGTACATTCGATCTTTTATCACTATGAAGAAACGATTTTCATAGTTTTTAACTAATTATAATTTTAGGTTTTGTCTTCCATTTGACTTGCACATCATGTCATGATGTTTTCCTAATAATAATAATTTTTTTCACTCGTTTCAAATATTTCATCTTCTTAAAAAAAGTTCGCCTCCCAGCAATTGAGTAGAAGAGATGCAGATGCTTGGTAAGCCTCCTAATAATGTTATGTAGTTTCAGGATAGTTTGCTCACTTTGGGACAACACAAGGACTAGAGCCTCTTATCTTCTGGTTGCTAGAATGTTTCGCGATTCCAATCATGTCTTGACCTGACATGATAATGGGAAAGGATTGTGACTGGAAAGCAGTCATGTGTTGCTCATCATACGTATGTTTTTCCGAACCATGGACAACACTTCCGATTTATCCTTATTTTTGTACTAGACATTTTTCCAAACTCTGGACAACACTTCCGATTTATCCTTATTTTTTTACCAGACATGAAACTCCCTCACTGTCCTTCACTACACTAAGATCGATACACCAGACATGGACTCCCTCAGTGTCCATCAAATCTTTATCATTTTTCACATCATTTAGCATTGCTGATTATTTTTAAACGGTTCTAGTACATACAATATGTATCACAATTTTAATAAAATAATACTATACAACAAAAATATATTTTCTATCATTTTTGTTAGATATATAATCAATAAAAATTTATAATTATTTTTATAATGGATAGATACTATGTTTTGAATTTTATTATCATATTATATCGATATTTTATACTATCAAAAATATTTTTTATTACCAAAAGTTGTAGAAGTTTGTATTACCAAAATATGGGAAAATCATTTTGAATATTTTAAGAATTTTATGGTTGTTTAACAAGAAAATAATATTTGTCATATACAAATATTTTGTAGTATTTGTTTTATCCATTTTCCGAAAATAAAAACGTCCACGAGTGAACAACCTCTAGTCGGAAAATTTGTGAAATATCTTCACTTCTTCCTCAGCTAGCTAGAGAAGCCACGAACCATGGCGGCCAGCTCGGTCGCCGTCCTTCCTTTGTTTGGTCACAGTTCCACGACGGACAAATCTTCTTCGAGACTCCTCCGCTTCTGTAACCTCCCCATTTCAAAACGTCGGTCTACGAAACACTCAAATCCCAGATTCCGGGAGGTGCTTGCGTCGTTCTCGCTGAATCAACCGGCCGATGATGATACCTCCGACGCCGACCTTTTTCTCCGATCCAATTCAATCGCTGATTTCATGCGGTTCAAACGCCAACCCGCCGGTAACAATGGCACTAGCGAGTTGCAGACGGCAATCGTCAGTTATAAGAAACGTTTCCCTTGGATTCTTCTCAACCCTTTTCTTCAGGTAACATCTCTGTGGCTTTTTGGGGTTTGGGCATAATAAATCTGGGAACTTTTGTTCAGTAACATCTCTAAATTGCAGGTTGATTTGGTCTCAACGATTCATATTGCAGATAAAGAGTGAGCCTTTCTTCCCTAGCTCTTAAATTGAACCTAGCAAAGATGTACATATTGATGATGTCTTTGGTTTGTTTAGTTTCTTGTAATGATTGATATGGGTTGGGTTTGTAGGTACTTTGACACTCTGCAAAAGGAGCTTGAACCATATGATTCTATCTTGTATGAGATGGTGGCTAGTAAGGAGGTCTTGGAGAACAGAAGAAACCCAATTGCAGCTAAGAGGCTCAAGAGTTCACGTCCAAGAGGCTTTAGTATTCTGGGGTTCATTCAGCGGCAAATGGCGAGGACGCTAACACTTGATTTTCAGCTAGACTGTCTAGATTACGAAGCAGAGAATTGGTACCATGCTGATCTCGATTACGATACATTCAGGTTGCTTCAGGTTTGGTTTCCGACGCTATTGTAATGTCTTTGACTAAACCATTACAAATGCCTATCTTTGGTTGTTGCATTTTTAGGTAGTATTCATTGGTTTCCACAGTGTAAGCCTGTATCATGGTTGTGTTATTTGGGAATATGAGAAGCATTTTTGCTTTATTGCTTCCAGAAAGCAGGCTATGAGTTGAGTGATGTCTGATTATATCTTCATTGGTGATGTTTCATATTTGGTACAGAAAGAGAAAGGTGAAAGCTTCTTCTCATTTGCAAGGGACATGACTATTAAATCAACGAAAGCAATAATGCAGCCAGCTTCGACAACTGAAAGTCTTGATCCTTGGAGGTCAAAGCTTCTATGGGTTTCACGGGTTTTGCCTATGCCTCTTGTGGGTCTTTTCCTTATCGGAGCTTTTTGTGTAGACTTTGAAAACCAGACGTCAGACTATCCAGAATTGGAAGCACTTTCACGGCTTGACTTTGGAGCTGCTATGAAGGTTTTCCTTGCTAAGAGATTGACATCCGAGTAAGCACTGCCTTCTTAATATGTCTGAGGTTCTACTATATCATACGCTATTTGAGATTCCTCCATTTTGAGTAACTTGTAGGCCAAAGAGTACAAAAAACCTCTCTGATTTCTCTGGTATCTCTGCGTTTGTACTATCATGTTTTGACTAAATCTGGTGCAAATTAAAGTTAACACATGTGTTTTCCCTTTGAATTGTGTATGTTGGCTAAGAGTTGTATCTTAATATTGTCGTGAAGGTTAACGCAAGTGACGTCAGACGTAGAGGAGAAATCTGTCATCATTGGTGAGAGAAACCGAGCAGCTACAGAAGCTTTAAGAAAAGCGATGGAGCAAGGGCACAACAGGATTGCAATTCTTTATGGTGGTGGCCACATGCCTGACTTGGGAAGACGACTTCGAGAAGAGTTTGATCTTGTTCCTTCTGAAGTAAGATGGGTAACAGCTTGGTCTATCAGAAATCCTCTAGACTTGGAAACTACTTCATTTCCGATCCTCAGGAGAATGGCGGAGGTTTTGCGTTGGCCACTAAACCGGTACCAAACCTTGGCATTGCTAATTTTTTCATCTGTACTTGCACTTGATCTCTGCTTTTGGGAGCTCTTCTTTGATTCCACCATTGACTGGGTTTCTCAGATAGGTGCAGAGTTGTACCAAGTTGTAGATAATGCAAAAATTGTGTGACACTCTTTGTATCTACAGAATCACAAAGTCTATTATTGTAAAGCAACCAGAGCTCCGATTTCAACTAATCATGTGTACACTAAATTTGTAATTTTCTCTAATATTTTTAGTTGAAAGTTAAAACTCATTTGTTAGGCCAGTTGTAATCAATGAGTAGATTCGGAAAAAGATCATAAACACCATTTTCAAATTGATAAATTACACGACGTGACTAAACGATTAAACCGTAAGAGATAAATTATATTCTTTTAACTAATACGATATCCAGAAATCTAGACTTGGTTAAGAGTCGGCGTCTTACATGCCTCCTACTAAACATAACTCTCATGCTTCTTCTTATCAGTTGACTCTTGATTATTTATATTCGTTTTAAAATTATATCTTAAGAAGAAGAAAAAAAATATATATATATACAGAATTAGTAAGTTAATTTTGGAAATGGTTGTAAAACATCATCATACGTTTGTTAGCGACATAACTTATCATCCACTCAAACGATTAAGAAGAGTTTAAATCATTAGAAACTATTTGGGGTAGGATGTAATACCATATATCCAATAAACCAAATGCAATTAGTTGTAAAGGAAGTATCTCTTGGTCCTC